CACAAATGCTAATTAAAGTGATGTAAAAATACAAAAACAATAAATATTAAACTAAATCACAACTAGGAGCTTATTTAATTCACATCACATTTAATTGTGTTCATAGTATACATAAGAATCTCATATAATATAAGCAAATGATTATTGAATTGAGAAGTGATTTCTCGTGAGAGAGACGGACAGAGAGACTGAATTAAAAATAAAAGAAAATCAAAACTTTTTATGAGCACACAATTGAGAAAATATCAACAATTTGAGTCAATTGAAAACATCAACAAACATGTAATGCATATGAAATTCAATTGATTTTAGTGTGCAATTCGTATGAAAAGACAATTTTCGTGTGAATCGATTGAAATCAAATAGTGAACTAAATTCATAGACAGAAAATCGTTTGTCTCATCCCTTTTGGCCACTTATGTAACCATAAAGACTGGAGAGAAAGACACCACTCGTATGGGTGTCTCATCGCAAGTCGGCCTCATTTCTGTCATTCATTGCCAGTGCCTCTCGATTTGGGTGAACCGATTCAGAAGTGCTTTTTTACATACATTTTCAGTGATATATTGTTTTCTTATGTATTTGTCTTGTATTGTATGGGAAATACTGTCTTAGAGCTCTCTCTCTCTCTCTCTTTCTCTCTCTCACTCTCTCAAGTGTTCAGAAAAAGCCGATAATGTCTTCAATGAACTTCGGACTGCCACAGACTCCCAGCACCCCAGACCACTGGCCAGTGATCTGGCGGACTGTCTGCGCTCTCTCTCTCTCTATCTATCTATCTATCTATCTCTCTCTCCCTCTCTCTCTCTCTCTCTCTCTCTCTCTCCAATGTTCAAGTAATGGTAATGAATAGTATATGTATTTTTGGTGCGGTTATGATAATGGGTGCAATGGTTGGGCGCCCACTGCCATCCACAACCATAAAAGAGGTTTCAGTTTTGCTGTCGGGGATGGAAAAGGAGGGGTATTACGTAAAATAATTTGTTGACAATTATCTGAATACTTTTAATACATTTTTGTACAAAAATTTCTGATCGCATCGCTAATCATGTCAGACAGTAATCAATGAATGAAAATATTCTTTCAATTCATATCATAATAGCAATTATTACAGTATTTATACAAATTTGCAAAAAATCAAAGGAAATGCATACTTAAAAATGTTTTTATAATATTGTTTTAGTGAAATACATAAAACAATTAAATAATACATTAAGGATTGATTGTAACAAATAGGAAGTTAGAGAAACTGTAAGATTTGAGTAATTTTTACAACAAATTCACATAATTTAAGTTAAAACTTAATAATAAATAACTCGTAGATCAGTTTTATCAGTCATAACAAAAAATACTGATACCGTTTTAAACAACTAGACTACATTACTACTCTAGAATTTAGGACCTAGATAAAGCACTACTTATAAATTGAATGAGCATGAAACTATACTCACAAGTGAAAATAATTTCAATTTATTAAGAATAAATTTTTAAGAGATATTAAATTATTAATCAACAAATTAAAAAACTTAATAATTAACTTAAAAAGTTAGTAACAACTATTTTATTTCAAATTTATTCTTAAGTTTTTTAATTTTTAAATTAAGTTTACTTGCTTATATTTAAAAAGTTGTACAGAAGTGATTTTATTATACATTTAATAAATTTTACAATAAAAGAGTTGTAAAAATAAAATAAACATAATTGGAGACTCCTAATATTAAAATCTATATAAAGTATATGACTGGCATAATTTAGACATTTTTATTTATGGTTCGTTTGAATTAATAATTTATAAATATTAATTTTATACTTATTAATAGTTTTAAATCCAAAATATGACATCTTTATTCCCAAAATATTTGGCAATAAAAATATTTTTAAAAATTCAATTAGCATTTCTTTAAAATATAATACGGTTTGTTGTGTTAATGTTTAAAATTATATTGAATATATTTTTAAAAATGATATATAATAATAAAAGTTCGTAAAAATTGTTATTAAACTAAGATTATATACAATATTTATCGGATAATATATGATTATAATAAATACATAGTATTTAGAAATCAATTACATAATCAAAATGAACGATATATCGCACCAAAAATTTTGCTACAAAAAAGTCATTCAAGTGTTCAGAAAAAGCCGATAATGTCTTCAATGAACTTATTGTAAGACTTATTATAAAAACAGTTATAAATAGGAAAATCCGAAAATCGGGTAAAAATTATGATTATATAATATTTTGTCAGATGAGTGACTAAATGCAAAAATAAAGTTGAGATTTTAAAAAGTTATTCAATTAAATCATTTATTGTGAATTTTCATAAACTATTTTTATAACACATATTTCTATTCAATCGTTGCACTGGTAATACATTTTTATGTTTTCTAATCGAGTTATAATATATCTGTAGTTTTGGGTCAAAATCTAAATTTTTATGAAATGCAGACNAATCTAAATTTTTATGAAATGCAGACAATTAAATGATAATTCAATAAACATTAAGAGATTCAGTTTAATCGTTTGGTATAATTTCTGATTATAGATATAGATATATAGGTACTTTTAAAAAACAAAACCAATATTTTTGTGTGAATTTCAAAAAGTAGATCATAAATAAAAAATGAAAATCATTTCATATACAATTATTTTATAAATTAATGAATCCAGTGTAACGAATTATGGTTGGTGAAATACATGTAAAATAAATCGATATCAGGCTCACAATTTACTAAATAATATACATTTTAAATTAATTACTGATATGTTTAAGGAATTACATCTGATTCATAAAATTAGAAAACTAAATTTATATTAAAGTTTTACATAACTTAACTTTATCATTTATTGTAAACTTATAATGACTTTTTGACACTTAAAAAATATACGATATTGTGAAACATGTTTAGAAATATCCGTCTCACATACAGAATATATTTAATATTCATAATAAACAAGAAATTAATTGCTTTATCAATAATTTATTCATTTCATAAACAATTTGCTAATTATTTAAATTCTTTGAGATAATCACTAACAAATAATTATCGCCTGTTATTTCTACCGGCATTCTTGTTGTTTGTTTTATTTATTTTTCACGACATAAACTATTTTATCATATTTATTATACCTTTAACTATTTACTAAACGGTTGATCTGATATAATAATGATTTTTGGAAGGGCTGGTAGTTTGTCGACCAAAAATCTAATCGGTATTCACTAATAAACTCATTTGGTTTTTTAACTGTTTTAAACTTGCAAATTAAATGCCGACTAAAATATCTATAAAGTATACGGTATCTTATGTAAAGATTAACTACTACTAAAGCATAGTGCACCTCTTTTGCACCTGTATGTCTGTATGTCATGTAGTAATGGGCCATAAATTGTAATATAAGTCAAGTTCTAGTTCTTTGTCAACAAATATCGGGTTTTGAAAGAAAATTGGTTTTAACTCAAAAAACAGAGCAATTCATTGAACTAATTAACGGCAAATTAAATTAAAATATAATAAGTTTGAAATTTCTCTCTCTCTCTCTCTCTCTCTCTCTCTCTCTAACTCTCAAATAATACTTTTGATGATTTGTGAAAACAATTAATAGAAAAAGTAGTGATTTCGCAGAAAATAAACTCCTATTTCATTGAACCACAAGTGGTGACCCATTCCCTTAACATGTGATGAGCAGAAAAAAGTTGACAAAAAATTAAACATTTTTATGTCACAAAAGAGTTTCACTTCAAATAAAAATAAGTTTTGAACACTTAATTTCATGTGAATTGTTCGAGAGACAAATGGTGTGAAAATGTGGTTTTAATTAAATTAAAAATGTGTTTTTTTTGTAAATAAAAGTTTAACAATCTTATGGTATGAATATAAGTTATCTAATACTTGTGCTTAATAACGATAGGATTTGTAGTAAAGTTATATAAAAAAGTATATTTTGTTAATTGCTAACTTTATTTAGTTATTCAAATATTATTCCTATACTGGATTAATTGTACCTTATTTTATGTATAAAATCATACAATTTATATTAGTTGTGAATTATGTCTATTGAGTAGATTTAAGGCAAAAATAATAGCAAAAGATAGCTATTAATGTCTGGCATAAAGAGTGCAAGAAATGAATACAATAATTGTTAATTATTAATCTACTTTCATATGTTATAGTTTTGTATTTTATGAAATGATAGTATAATTTTTTATTATCGATTCAATTATTTTTTATCGCTTTTTTGCTGAGTTTTTGTATTCATTTCTATTGAATATAATATAATTATTATCTAATAATAAATGAATACATTGTTTGAATCCAAAGTTTTTATTACAAATGTTTTGTCATAAAACTGATGACAAGTCGTTGAAGAGTGGCTGACCTATCATTCCCTGTCCTCCACCCCCGGGTCAGTCGGACTGCCACAGACTCCCAGCACCCCAGACCACTGGCCAGTGATCTGGCGGACTGTCTGCGCTCTCCCAATACCCCAACCCTATAGGGCGCGCCACTCGACACCACTCCCTGACCGGCCAGACTGCCCAGACTCCCAACACCCCGGATCAGTGGCCAACTGACCCGTCGGACTGTCTGGGCTCCCAACACCTCCGGTCCCACTCTCGCCACCATTGCTCAGACATCACATCCCGGATCCAGCATCAGCAGCACCGGGAGCTCCCTTTCCCTTCAGTTTTCTCCACTTTTCACGCAGTGGTTCGGCAACTATTTGACGGAATTTTGCACAAAATTGATTCAAATATGAATCGAAACGAACTCGAAGTCCATTCCGAAGAGTAGACGACAAAATCATAACTCATTTCTATATTAATAAAAATGATTTATTCAATAAAAATCACTCAAAAAGAATAATTATTTAATTCTCTCGAAAAACAGATATATTTTGAAGACATAAAAATATATGTATAATAAGATTACAAGAATAACATTCGCTTTAAACATAAATTAATTTGATTTCTCATTAACGACACAATAATTGCCATTTATTTATGAATAGATTTTTGAATCCAATCTATTGTTTGCAGCGATGCGTGAGATAAGGCGGTGTTCATAGAGTGGGGAACCAACAGCCGATAACAGCCCCAAATGGTCAGTCCTATGACAGTATATTTAATGGACTTCTTCACCACTTTAGTGGTCAATGAGGTCTCAGGAATTCTGTTTCAAAGTCAACATAATTAATGTAAAACACAATTCAGAAGTCAATACAAACACATACTTGAGAAGCGGTGCAATGTCTTCATCCTTGACTTGTCCCCACTTCTTGACAATTCCGGGCACGTGTCCGATGCCTACCACTCCCACAACCACTGAGGGCCGCACACCGGACGGTGACGCCATGTTTGGGACGGGCGATGAGGCCAACCACAGGGAATACGCCAAATATGTGTCCCTCTCCTCCACAAACACGCGACTCAATGTCGGGAATTCACCCGTCATTTCAGTCAACATTTCCTATTCATTCAAAAGTC